CCGCCCACCCCACCCCTACACATCATTGCTACAATGATGGCAATGTCTGGCTGTGGAGGACAGCACTGGGATTCCACAGATTTAGAGCCCTACCACCCACCTCATTCCCCTGTGGAGTTGCTCCCCTGGGACAGCAGGGTGGCCATAGCACAGGAGAAAAAAACATCTACCCTGGGAACACTACCCCACAAAGATCTGAAAAGCCAGAGAAGTACAAGATAGCTAAAAATGTATGATTCAGCACCACCTCCTGGAAAATAATAGAAAGATCTCTTCGTATTAATCTGCTAGAGAGGTACCACTCATAGGTAGATGCCTAGACAGAGAAGGAATCCATCATATAACTATGAATAATCAAGGTAGTGAGGCAGCTCAGAAAGAAAGTGAAAAATATCCAGAAAACAAACTTAAAGGTGTAGAATTATGTGATATAAGTGACAGAAAATTCAAGATTACAGTTCTGAAAAAACTCAAGATGCAAGAGACTACAGACAGTTTAATGAGCTCAGAAAACACCATAAAAAAACAAAACAATACTTTACCCAAGAGCTTGAAACTTAAAAAAAGAACCAAACAAGTTCTGGAGATGAAGAACTCAGTAAAAGAGATTAAGAATGAGCAAACAAAATAGAGCCAACCAGATGGAGGAAAGAATTAGTAATATCAAGGATAGAAATCTAGAAATGCTACAGAGGGAAGAAGGAGAGTTAAGCATTAAAAAAAAAAAAAAAGAAAAAAAGAAAGAACTCTACGAGAACTATCTGACTCCATCAGAAAGCGCAATATAAGAATAATAGGCATACCAAAAGAGAATGGGATTAGCTTTGTATCCAGGAGGCAAGTTGCAGGGGGACTATTTGCTTATAACATGGAAATATAAGTAGCATCTTTGTAAAAATACTTTTTCAGAGTGGCAACATACCTAAATTAAGTAGCCACTTTAAGTGATACTCAGAATAAGAAATATTTAATGTAACTTAAAAAGGGGATGGTTATTTGATAGCAGAAATTATTAACGCTGTTTTTTAAACTTGTGAATAGTATCGGTTCTAAGTTAAAGTAAATGTATGGGAAATTAGCAATATCATGCTTTAAGGTATTACAAGTTTTTAAAATCATTAATACTTTTATGAAATTAAAACATTTTATAATATTTTCCACAGTTATAAGACTTATTTAGAATGGTGGGAAATGAATTATATTCTCTTCATCTGTTCTTTTTTTTCAGTAATATGAAGAAAAATTTTTATAGAAATCTGTGCCTGTTGTAACAAATTTGGTCAGTACTGCAGTATTCAGGAGGTCTTCCTTCCTAATTCTAGTTCCAAAGGTTTTCTTCCACAATTTGTATATACTCTGAGAATCTTATATACACATGTATCATATGCTTATGTAAGTATATGTGTAGTAGCTATATACATAATTTTAAAGTTAAAACTAGATCATATTATAGTGTCATTCTGAAACATATTAAACTTAACGTGCATATTTTTCCAAGTTAGAACATACAGAATTACTTTATTGAATATTTTGTTAGTTTACTGATTTGCATGCTGTTTGAGATTTAGATTAATTCTATTTTTTCTATTATAAAGAATTCCACTAAGTCCTATAAGATAGGTATTATCTTCTCCATTTTAGAGATGAAATTAAGACACAAAGAAGCTAGGTAACTTGCCCTGTATTATACATCAAATAAGTGGTGGAGCTGGTATTAGAATTATAGCAATCTAGTCCAGAATCCAGAGTCTTAAATAAATACTACTTTATGCTACTGTTTTCCTTCTGCCTCTTTATTCTGTTTACTGAATTGGAAAAACAATGTATAAAATATATTTAATATTAAGACTCTCCTGAGAATAATCTAATATGCTACCTTAAGGATATTGGAAACCTTAGGGACACAAATTGCACAGCTGTAATTGCAATGGCGTCTAATATAGAAGTAGAACGTTTAAGCCAGCACTTCTGTATGTTAATGTGGGTACATAGCACTGGGGATGGGGGAAGATCTTGTTAAAATGTAGTTTCTGATCCAGGAAACTGGGGCGGACTCTGAGATTCTGCAAAAGCTCCTGATGTCTGATGTCGCCATTACTACTGGCCTACTTTTGAGTCGCAAAACTTTTGGCAAATCTTATTTTATTGAATCGGTTTCATATATCATTTTGTTCATGCTACCAGTTTTTGTAAGTCGTGTGCATTAAAGAAATAGGGGCTTTCTAGAAGTTTGAATTCTGTCAGGAGCATTGCTGGAAAAAATGAATTATGACTTATGTGGTATTAATGTATAGTACTTAAATATCATCAGATTATTGATGTACTAAATATGGCTTATACTCCTATGACACAATTTCCACCATTTTTTAATATAGTGAAAAGCCGTTTCTTTTCATTTTGAAGGCTATAGCTGTAGTTGAACTAAAAAAATGTTGTTTTACCACTTTTATTTAGTAATAATAGTATAATTTAAACATAGTGTTGACTGTGTGTCAGGCACTGTTTCTAGTGCTCAATTGGCATGTTTTCATTTGATCATGATGACCTCCCTCATTCATTCATCCATCAGCTCTCCGAGCACCTGCTGTGTTCCAGGAACTGTGCACACAATGTTGAACCAGAGAAACACAGATTCTGCTTTCCTAAATGCTGTACACTAATCAAGCAATCATAGAAGTGTGATGGTTGCAAACGAAAAATTAATTTACGATATTTACACTTTCTCCAGGAGAAAAAAAAAATGTGATGGTTGAGAGACACCATCAAAGACAATTCAGCTTTTAGCCTACTAGACTTCTCCTGCTGAGCCTCCTTCCCTACCCCACTCCAAAGACAACTCCCTCTCTCTCAGCTGGATTCCTGAGCTGTTGTGACGCTAAATCAACCTAATGGCTGGAGAGACAACACTTGAGAAATAAAGATAAACAATTTGTACAAGAACAGAAAGAACAGAGGTAGATGAAAATAATTTATAATAAAATCAAATTTTAAAACTTTTTAATATGTTTTTATTGATTTCAGAGAGAGGAAGGGAGAGGGAGAGAGAGAGAAACATCAATGAGAATCATTGATCAGCGGCCTCCTGCACGCCCCCTGCTGGGAATCGAGCCTTGCAACACAGCATGTGCCCTGACCGGGAATCAAACCGTGACCTCCTGGTTCATAGGTCGACTCTCAGCCACTTAGCCATGCTGGCTGGGCAAAAATTAAAATTTTAAAAATAATATCTGAAGGGACACTATTCACATTAACTTGAAGGAATAAATGTCTTCAGTACTTTAAATGGGAGTCTCTTTAAAAACATGTATTTATTAGGTGATACTCAGTTCGGTAAGTTATTTGAATGGTTCCGTGTTCCCAACTTTGTGATAGTAGGTATAGAAAATCAGAGGATTCCAAAAATAGGATATGATTTTGTCCCCGATGGTCTTAAGACTATTAGTGTTCTTGATAAAAGATTGAAAGAGGCAATGCAAGGCATTTTTTTAAATGTACCAACACGTGTGACCCTAGCAATAGGTGCACTGTTGATGGATTGTGCATGCTCTTGGAGGAATACCATTTTTAAATACCCGATTCTCTCTTTTCTCATAGTAGCACCACGTTCCCTTTTGACTATTATCTTGATGGGAAATTCTTTCTGGTTTAGTCAGATCTGTTATCCAACCTTTATATATTACACTGCTCTTTTGTGATTTCAAAAATGTTGTGTTTTCCCTACTGCTGTTAAAATGTTGGGCTTCATCACATTGTTTTGAAGAATAAGTGGGAGACTTTAATTTAGTTTCTCGATGTTACAAGTAGCTCTATCTAGTAGTTTTCTTTTAAAGAGAGAATCTGAAAAATTTTTATAAATTTTATCTTGGAAATTAGTTTATTCATTATGTTTAATTTTAGGAAATGGTGCTCTTGCAGAACATTCTGAAAATGTGCATATTTCAGGAGTGTCACCTGGTAAGTCTTTTTTTGTAATGTTTAAATTTCATGCATGACTTATATGGTAAATATTGAAAGCCACCTGGTATCTTATGAAGTGGTATTTGGCTATAAAAATTATTACTGCTTTTTGCACCATGTAATAAGGAATGAAGTAACTGGAACATGGAGAAATGCTCATGAGATAAAAGTGATACTTGCATGCCCATGGATTGATTATACTTTTCCAAATGCACTGCATAATTATTTTTCATAAAAACAGTCAACCAAGAGAAGTTAGCTCAAGTTGAATTAGTATTTCTTTACATACAAAGTTACATGAAATGAAATTTATTAAAATGTAATTTTGAATGTAGCATTAGAGCCTTAGAAATTAAGCATTTTGCTTGATTCTTAGATTAGACTACTACTGTACATAAAACTGTTATACTTGAGTGCACAATTTACATGGTATTAAAAAGCAACCCTACAACATATTTGTGTCCATGAAATTCAGAAACTCATTGAGGGAAATATATTTTTTCCACTCATCTAAGCTTTTATAACTTAATAATTACTTAAAGGCCCATAACTATTAAATTTTTCATTCTTAGTGACTTCCTCAGTTTTGCTACCATTTTTGCTGTATCAACTGCAATTACTAGGAGAGCAAAGCCTTTTATTTTTGCATATATTGAAAGTTCCTTACTGCTGCTTTATTATTATCCCTATTTTTTTAATGTTTTGTGGTTAAAACCATTGCACTTAGTGTATTTATCAATCTGATTTCTTCCTGTCATCTTGTAACTTGTTTGGTTATTTGTTTTCATATGAAGCAAACCTGGAAGATTCTTGTTTTATGTCTGGTTTTACATTCAGAAAATTGATAGACTTAACAAATACTCTAAGAGTTAGTATGCACTCGCCAAACACACCAGCAAGCTTGGTTTTCTGACAATGAGAACAAAGCAAGTGCTTTAGTAGCCTGTGTTAGTTCTTTCACAGTTTGTTTCACCATTTTCATTTGCTGTCACATGGTATATAACAATATACATCAGGTAAAAATAAGGCTGTTTTAAAGGTGACTTTAATTTCCCCCCTTTCTACTTCAAATAGCTAATGAGAATTATGACTGTGAAGTTAGAAGTTTACCAGCATTTTAATTCATGCAACCAAATGGTTATTGTCTAATTGAGTGATTGTCAAAATGTTTGGTTTCAGGACCCCTTTTAAGCTTTTAAAAATATTGAGGACTGTGTTAGTCCTTTTGGGATTCCATAACAAAACACCGTAATTTGAGTGGCTTAAATAATATATATTTAGTTTTTCACAGTTCTAGAGGATAGAAGTCCAAGCTCAAGGTGCTGTCGGGGTTGGTTTCTGGTGAGACCTCTCTCCCTGACTTGTAGACGGCCACCTTCTTGCCGTGTCCTCACATGACCTCTCCGTGCACTTAGCGGTCTGTGGTCTTTCCTCCTTCTATGGATTAGGGCCCTACTCTTACGACTTTGTTTAACCTGAGTTTTACCTCCTTCAAGGCCCTGTCTTTCAAATACAGTCACATTGGGTTTTAGGGCTTCTACCAGTGAGTTTGGGGCAGAAACAATTCAATCTATAACTGTGATTTCTACCATGTTTCTATTAAAGTCCCAAACTTTTATATGTGACTTTTTTTTACTCCTGGTCTGGAGTTGTGACGTTGCAAAGAGTAAGACAATGAGATTTACTTTCCCTTACAGTTAGCCAAAAACAACCCTGAAATATAAAAAAAAGATTTTCTGGTTGCTAATAGAAACAAATACTGAGGCTTGCTGCTTTCTCAAGTATAATTTTTTTACATATGAGGATTAACGCCTTATGCTCAGTCCACCAGTGATGCAGCTTATAACATCAGCGGCTGAAAGCTCTGCCTGAGGTTGGTGCACTTAATCTTGAGTCTGCTTTACCTTCGACTTGGAATCTTTGCCCGGCAAAGCTGACATTCCTGAGAGCTGAGAAAGAGAATGTCTGCTTTAGAAGTTTTTTTCTTAAAGCTTGTTCATATTAACTGATCAGGAGAGCATATGAAATAGATATCAAGTAGTTTTTGATAAAGCATTGTCCTTGCTTTATGCCTCCTGCGCGCCCCCTACTGGGGATCGAGCCCACAACCAGGGCACGTGCCCTGACTGGGAATCCAGTCCTGACCTCCTGGTTCGTGGCTCAGCCACTGAGCCACGCCGGCTGGGCAACACAGTACATTTTTTATAAAAAGTCACGCACATTAGTTTTGAATATTATCTGCCTTCAGAAAGTTTGTTTATGAGACCCTTAAGCTTTTGGAGTAGAGTAATCCTTTTAAGTTTTAGGAAGAAAAGTAACGGTTTTATTATAATTTTTATACGTTACACTTTTATATGTACTATTATATACTGTGTTATTAAATCTTATTTATGTTTTATTATACAATGATATGTTCTATGTGGAGCATATTTTTCTCTATTATATAATCATAACATTTACTGTATTATCAAATATTTATTGAACAATTACATATTTATAGCCAGTTATTATGCATTAAAATTTTATATTGCATTATTATAGTAAACAGTCCGTGAACTCCGCATTAGAACAGTAAATAGCACTGGGACCATAGACGGAACAGGTCCTCATGTGACAGAAGCATGCGATGCTTGGCTGGTAAAGTGAAGTTCATCCGCCGGAGTGAATGGGCCAAATCCGGCAGAGGTGTAAAAACGAGTTGCTTTTAAGCACGTACCATTTTCTTCTTCACCCTGTAACTTTGAGAATAATCCTTTCTCACTTTGAGAATAATTCTTGAGTGTGCTGGCATGTTAATTACTGGTAATTTGGCTAAGGCATGAATTTGGATTGGATGCACTGAGCAACTGTTGTGCAAAAGCCTTGGTCACGTAGCCCGTGAGCAAACTGGACTTTGGCTTTCAGTTGCCTAATTTTCCGATTAGACGTCCGGGCTGATTTGATCTTAAACTGCAGTGGTGCAAACAGTGTTCAGATGTAGATGAGCCTCCTTCACTCCACACCGAAACGTGTGCTGAGCATTGTGTTTATTTCTGGGCATCGCCCTCGACAGAAGGCGCCAAGATTGGAACACTCTCGGAAGAAGATGTGGATATATTAGAAATTATGTCAGAGCTGATGGAGGTAGCTTAGAAAACTGTGAGCCCCGAGGCCAATTTATCTCTGTTCAGGTGCTGATTTCTGCCCTGCCTCTTCTCTGTTTCCAGCAAGAATCACAGTAAACTTCAAAAATTAATAATTTTTACCATTCAGGAAATAGAAATAGTAGCTTGCTTAGCATTTTAGTCTTTTGTAGTGCTTAAAATTAGAAAATGTAGGTACCATATTAATAGTTTTTGTGCCCTTTCAGGAAAAAAAAGTCCTTTTATGCCCTAAAAAAAGGTATAAAAGGTCGAATCTTCCATATTTGTCTTATCTTAAGCTTTGCAAGCAAAATTCAAAATTATCCTTAGTCCTTGGAAATTTTAGGGTGAAGCTGGTCAGATAGTTCCAGTAATAATACTCTTCTCTCTTATTCATATGTTGCGACCCTGCTGGAACTAGGAAAACTATGGGGGTTTTTTCGGTTTTTTTCCTCCTATTACTTTTTCATACTTTTTTCCCTTGACTTTTTAAAATATTTTACTGCCATATAGCCCTTGATTGTTATATGTTTCTTCTGGATTTTAGTGACCTTCAAGAAACCGAGGAATTATCTGCCCTGATTAGAGCTAATGATCAATTTTGGTCCTTAAAAAACATTACTTAGAATAATAGAAATAAATATTGCTGCATTGATTCTTAAGTAGCTGTGCTAATGCAGAGTTTATTATAATTAAATATGCATTTAATTATAAGCAGCAGGGTATAGGATTTCCTGCTTACAGTAGAAATGTGTGATTTTTGCTAATAAGTCTGAGAGTAATGAGAGAGAATCCTGAGTATGGGTGATAGAGTCATATATCACCCATACTCATTCATACCTTTTAAATGGCCATTCAAATCTTTTCTACCTTAGAGTAGTAAATATTGCTATTAGAGTGTTCATAAGTGATCCCAGGAGGAGTTCAGTTTTCTAACTCCTTGAAAAAATGAGAATGAAATTCTGCGGGAATTGCTCACGTTCAGCCTCCGTCTCTTCCCGGCTCTGCCCGTCCTCAGCGTGTTCCCTGTCCTCACGTTTCCGTTACGAAAAGCGCAGCTCAGGTACCCGGTGGTCAGAAAACCTGTTCAAGGAATCCGGGCAGCAGAGGGTCCGAGAATTCAAGGCGCTAGCTGTGGACAGCAAACCCAGCCAGGCTGCAAGAGGAGGACTCTCAGACGCAAGGCGTTCCTTCCTGGCGTGAGCCCCGTGTGTCTCCTGTTGAGTGCAGGGCTGAGCTGCGCCTACGTGACAGCCTGACAGATACCCTTGTACTTGAACTTCATTCGTCTTGCAGGTTCTGACACTCACTCGATCACTTGCCCGGTGTTCTCAGCGGCCCAGAGACTTCGTGCTCAACATGCTTGCTTTCCAAACTCTGTCTGTACATTAACCGTCTTTCAGAACACCACCGCCTTTCAGTAGCCGCTCAGCTCTCTCTGCTTTCCCCTTTCTCTTTCTTTGAAATATGTCCCTCAGCCTTCACTGTATCCCCTGCTGCTACTGTTCTACCCGATGCCCTAACCGTCTTACGTAGAATTTATATATATATATATATATGTTTTATTAAAGATGGGTTCTCGAATGATGTTTATAAAAGTGTTGTGTGTTTTTTAAATTCCAAACAGACTAAGAAGCATTTTAGTCCTGCGTGCAATTCTGCATGGATTTGTAGCAATAGGAATCAGTCTTTGGAAGTTTTCATTCTAAGTATACCCTTTCTCTATGTTGTTATAGTTTCTCTGTCTTTTCTCTCCATGTTAATATAGGATCAATAGGCCTTTTTCCCCCCAAATAGACCACTTTTATCTTTCTTGAATTGCACTCGAGGCACTTTCCCCCACCCCCAGATATTATCCCAGGTGTCACGGGAGCT